CTCTCTCTATTTATTTTTTGTGCCTTTTTTGCGGCTGGCGTTCCGTCGCCCCTGTGCAAGAAGGAGTCACTGCTGCTACATGCTGTTTCCGCAAGGTCAGCGTCCTCCACGCCCGAGTCCAAGGCTGCGTTGCGTCGAAGCGAGTCGAGGAAAAGACCTCGCTGGGCAGGGGCTGGTCGCCGTCAACATTAGCCGCACGGGCGAGAGGAAGACCAAGGAAACTTGCACCGAAGGCTCTGGCGGCAGAGAAAGCAAGCAAGGTGGACCAGCGGGAGCTGAAGGCAGCCATGGTTGCATGCTGCAACGGTCGAGGCATAGCACCGGCCCGGCCCTGTATTTCTTTCTGTCTGCAGCTCTGAAGACAGTGGCTCTCTCTCCTGCGCGTAAGCTCACTCCATTTTAGCAATGGTGCGAACGGAAGTAAATTGACCTGAGCCTACCGCCTGGGTAATGGGAGGAGAAAAAGCCGTTAGCTTCCTTCGGTTGTGCTACTGCTTTTTAAACACACTTTTCGTCGGGCAAGACTGCCAAAAAGCTCCGGTCCGGTCCGTGCGCGCACTGCTTTCTACGACAAGGGCTCGCCGCGAGTAGCTGTGGCACTTTCTTGCAGGAGGAAAAGTCCGAGGACAAAAAGATTAATAACCTGGGCGGCGAGAAAGAACCTCACGCGAGAATTGTATCATCTGATCGCATGACCACGAATTTGCATCTCGGGCAGCTCGAATGCGCAACAGGATGGATGGTCATGCGCGGTACGCAGCATGGAGCTACGGGAAAATACTGACATGCCGCGCACGGCTGCATCGGGGCGCTAGGCGTGTGAGCGCAAATCGGCAGAAAATGTCGTGCAAGGTTCGTACACACCAGCACAGCACCTGCTAGAGAGAGCTCGAGCACTTAGGCGGCGAAAGCGTGCTGCACAGCCACTGCAAGCAACGCGGGCCTGGATGCCCACGCCAACACATGGCGCAGTCAGGCAGTCTGTTTGTCTGTCCGTCCGTCCGTCCGTCCGTCCGTCCGTCCATCCGTCCAACAGTCCATCTGACGGTCGGCCGGTGGGCCGCCCGTCAGTCCGTCGGCCACTCGGCCAGCCAGCCAGCCAGTCAACCAGCCAAACAAGCATTCAGCCAGCCAAGGCCTCGGGTGCACTGACACATGGGCATACTGGGCATTGTATACAAGAAGGTTTAAGCTTTCACACGTCAACATGGTTTGGAGACGGCTTGTTTCAGAACATCTCAAAACCTCCACGTTCGTTGGTTTGGTTGGGCTCTTAGAAGAAAGCGTGAACATCGACCCTAAAAGCCACCGGTGCGACTACAGAACACCCTCCCGACAAAAACCAACAGGGAGCTTAAATGTCTGGCACCTAGCTTTCAGCTTAATTAAGGAAAGCGCCTGGCCCATCCCAACGATGCGGCGTTTCGCATCGCTGGCGGAGCTTGCTGGGCACGGACTCGGACGAGATCCCGAAGCAGCTGGTGCGCACCGGCATTCCACACCCTCCGAGTAGAGGCGGCTCGCTTGCTAGGCTCTCGGCGACGCAGGGCAGCGCCGTCATGCGCAGCGCATGCAGGGCTGGGGCAAGTCTGCGCGCGTCAGCGGCAAAACAAGTGTCATAGACAACGAGGTCCATGCGGCGGCGGTCGTGGAACTACCGTTGGGCCGTTGGGTGCTGTTGCGCACACTGACCACTCTCGGGCGACCGCCTGCTTATCCGGACCGACGGCCTCCCGAGCCACGCACACCCGTGCCGCGCGAGCTAACTGTTAATTTCACCGGTGCGAGTGCATGCCAAGGCGTGCATGGTCGCCAAAAGCATCCAGTCGGTCTCCTCGTTCGGGCACCAACACAATGGGAAACGGGCGGCGGCGCAATTCCAACAGCATTGCTTGGGGAGGCTCACTGGGGTTTCGCTGGGTATCAGCTTGCGACCACAGGTGGAGGGGCGCAAGCGGACGGCGACAGGAAGGCAGGTGCGTGTGCTCGCGAAAGTATAACGAAGGTTGCGATGGTGCCAATCGCCTGGGCCCTGTTCGGTTGAACCAGGTGGACGGGCACCAGCGCCGCTGTTTCCCAAGAAAGGCACTCCTGCCAACCCCTCTGCGTGCCGGACCTCAACATGCGCTCCTGAGGCTTGTCGCGCACCCCCCCCATCCCCCCTCCGCCTGCAACGAGCAATTACGTGCAGGCATCAGCGAAGGCTGGCGAGCGCGCTCGGAGAACGAGCTGCGCATCAACGAAGCGGCAGGTGCATTGTGAGTGGCAGAAATCAAGCCAAGGGCTCCGAGGGCAGCCGCTAAGGTTGCCATGTGTCTTGTGCCTTGAAAGTCTGCCACGGCGACGCCACCGAGGCAGAGTTGCAGAGTCTGCCAGATGGCAGCGTCATGCGCGCCTGAGCAGAAGTGGCCACGGCATGTTGGGGGGGACAGTCCGAAGCGCATGATCGCGGAGAAGCCACGCTGCTGAGTCCATGTGTCACAAATTCCGAAGCGCCCAGGACTGCCATCTCGTTCAGGGAGTGGCTTGTCCCCGCGACAAATGTCCACCCCCGAGTGCAGCTCTACGGGGGGCGGGGGGGAAGGCCTTCATCGCAGCCGTACGCGCAGTTTTTTTGTTGAAGGCGGCAATGCCATATGCTTGAAGGACCTCGACTCTTGTCCTGGCGGCTCGTGCTCGCTTGGGCGCAGCAAGGACGTACAAGTCGCTGAGGAACGCCAACACGCTGTCGGAGGCCTTACGCAAGGCTTCGTGCTGTCCCAGAGAACAAAGCGCGTGGGGCAAGCAGGTCGCCTTGTGCGGCGGCGAGAGCAACACTGATGCCGACCAGCGCTGGGCATGGGCAAACATGACACAACGATACGGAGCTTGCACAGAGCGTGACAGTAGGCAGGCAGGCAGGCAGGCAGACGAAGGAGGCAGCGTGAGGGCTCTACCCACGAGTTTCTTGCTGCTTTTAGTGCGATGCTCGCCGCTGTTTGACCGACTCGGCCGACCCTTCAAAGAGCCAGGGCGAATGCGCCAAAGCGGCGCAGTGTGCCTTTGTCCACCAATGTGCCGGGCACTGCTGGCTATCGCGTTGGCATGCTCTCCTGACGAGTGCAGTTGTGAGTCACAGCCGCGGCAGAGTGAGGGCGAGGGCAACGGGCCGGCACGTTCGCACTGGTGCCGGCGCACACCTCCAGTCACATTGCCAAGGCGCCTTGCGCCAACTGCAATGCCGACGACAACCAATTTGCAACGGCATGCAACCTCCAGATGTTTGCCACAGCTCTTGCGGCCTGCTGCCCCTTCACCGCCCTTGTCTGCCATGCCATGACAAAGCCGCTTGAGCTGGAGTCCGGGTTTGGAAATCGAGGACGCTGACTACGCCGATCTACGCCATCTTTGGTATGTCTTTGTAAAACACGGTGCATGCGCCAGCCGAACCTTCCATGTGGGTTCGGATTGAAGGTAGGGCAATACTTATTCGTGCCGTCGTGCAGCCCCTAGGCCCCACGGCATCTTTGCCATCGCGCTCTCGCCACGTCGCCTTTGCTCTTCGCACTGTCGCCAGCGCCCCTCCTTGCAGTCTCCCGAGTCCAGCCAGAATTTGCCCACGCCACGTAAAGGCAGCTCAAAGTCAAAAGGAATGTAAGCGCAGCCTAAAGCCCGAAACGGCCGGAAAAGGCCAGACACTGTCAACAACTGACACGGCCATGGCAGGGGTCAAGGGTCAGAGAGCCGCAAGTGAGGAAAATGGGGAGACAGCCTTTGCAGACGACGGTCCAGATGGGAAGCAGGACTCAACAAGTTGCAGAAGAGCTCCTGTGTCAGAAGCGCAGCGACCAATTTGGAGTCGGACACCCTTGGCTTTCGAAGGTTCAGAAGCTTGTGCGACTCGAACTACTGGAGTGGCGATGCTCAGGCCGACTCGCATGTGACAGAAGTCGTTGGCCAGCTGCAGTTTCAAGGGCTGTCAACCTGAAGCGCTGAAACAACATCTGCACGTTTCTACTAGCTGAGCTTGTTGCTCAGTCGGCAGAGGATATCGCTGACCTTCGCAAAGGGACAGAGGCATTCTCGCGTCATGCCAGAAAGTAAATTCTGAGGTGGTTGCCATCTTTGGGGACCGACAGTCTCCTGTGCCTAGCAGGCTTCTGAAGCTAACCATCAAACACCAGGACGAGATTGCGCCTCGTAGCATCTCGGAGAGAGCGGTACAAACGTGAGCAGTAACCCCATGGCGAAATTGCACTTTTCACCATGAACACAAGTCTACATTCTGCAGGGAAACTTTCCTTTGCCACAGGTTGGCATGTGGCATCGTTGCTACGAAAGATATGATTCTGGGAGATGTGTTCTTCATCCATCTTGTCCGTAACTGACATGAGCTTTGAGCAGTCTACATTGTTGATCGTTGGCATAACCAGCGAACGTCCCCGACATCAAACGATGAGCCCACAGATTGAAACCCTAACTCTAAACCGAGAAGCCTAACTAAGTCCCAGAAACCACAGGAAGCTGCTCGTCCGACCGTTCCAAGCATTGTCTCACTGTCCTTCCTCCTGAACGCTGTTCAACCCTACTGCTACAAGTGTTCAAAGTCACTCAAAACCAAGGCGTTGGTGCAGCACGGGCACTGAAAGCTTAATGTTCAAATTGCTTGCTGAAACCCAGATACTATACACCCTAAACCAGTGCAGAAGCCATGCTCTCGAAATCAACGATCATGGCACGGTTCCAGTGGTGTAAACGCTTGACAAGTTATGGCAGTTACATGCATAATGTCCGATATTTTGTCTCGGGGGCGGCCCAGCGGCATATTGAGGAGGGCTGTACAAAGTGAGAACGTAGGTCTCAGCTGCCGCCGGTTGCGCCGGTCTGCACCGGCTTGGGGTTCGCGTAGCAGTACAAGCAAGAGTGCGGGCCTGCAAGCCAATGCCCTTGACGATGCAGAAAGCGGTTACGAGACATGTCAACTGAGGCTAGGGCATTGGAGCTCGTACTGGCCGATCTCTCTACTCCCAGTGCAGTTGCACTGCTCGCGCTGGCCCCGATCTTTCTGGTGCGGGAAAGTCACCGTCAATCCCAAATCGCGGGCCAGACGATCTGCTAGCCGAGCGTCCAGGCATCGCGACTCCCCGACCTCTCGCAAGCTCTCGAGCTCTTCACTCGTGATGAAATCTGCACCAGTGCAGTCGACACACTCCGGCCTCCGGGACCAGCGGTGCAGCGAGGAGCTCTTTGCCCTCTTTCCCGTCTTTCTTGTCCTTCTTGAGGCCCCCATCGCCGCAGCTTCCTGACCTCAGGCACAGCGACTGGCGACGCCATGCGGTAGCCCACGAGCCCGCTGTCGCAGCAGCAGCGCAGCTCCACGTTGCTCAGTGCCGCTATGGGCAGCAAGCGATCTAGGACCTCAGGGACAGCGAAGCTTTGCTCGTATGAGGCTCTCGCCCCGCACTTCAACATCATCGGCACAAGCGGTCGGACTGTGGACAATCCAGCATGACATGCTATCCGCCTGTCGTTGCTGTGCATCCGACAGCGCTACCAGCTCTACGCCCGCCGAGAGCATATTTCGCACGGACTGCTTGTAAGGTTTGCAGAAGCTGAAGGTGATGTGGCGAATCCCAAGGCTGCCAATGTGTCGCACGATCTGCTCAAAGTCTTGCAGGTTGTCGTGGAGACCAAGACCCGGCAATCGCCGATAATGCACGATGGGGTCAAAGCGCACGTTTAGCGCATGGGGACCGAAGCGAGTGGCCTCAGAAGAGCTGTGCACCAGAATCCCTTGCACATCGACCCTGGTACCAGTAGCTGAAACTCGGCGCCGCACCAGCCAGGTGACCTGCTCTAGCCGCTCTTGCAGCGGTGCAGCCATACCGGGTTCCAGCACGAGATCATCGGAGTTCACCGTGAAGTTGAACATGTGCACCCGGTAGCTGTGGAGAATGCTGTCCTCCCTTTTGAACTCCTCAATCCACTTTGAATAGTTCTTCGACCACCTCAGCTGATGTACACCTGCAGCTTAGCTGCATGGAAGTACCCCACTTGGCCCACTTCGACCACAAAAGCTCTGCAAAGCTTGTGAACTTTCTGCGTTGAGCCGCCAGCTAATGCAAAGCACACCTTTGCCAGAGGACTCATCATACGGCCTGAGACACACAGGGTCCATTTGCCCAGTCACCTTAGATGCTTAGATGATGTGTGCGTGTGTGTGTGTGTGTGTGTATATATATATATGCAGAAACACAGACAATCGCAGTGCAAGATGGATGCCAGTATCTGAGCTGCAGTGCACAGAACCAGTGTGTATGCGACATGTATTTGCGCATGTTGGAGTAGGCGAGTCACAGGGCTCCGCACGTACATGAAACCTTCGCGGAAGGCCTTCAGGTACTGCCGCAGAAATGCCCAGGGCACGTCCGTCCGCCTCGAGCACGACAAGATCAGGGGTGGGCGCTGCAAGGCCCGAGCACGGTCTGTCTCGGTAACCCGCGCAAACATCTTTGGCCCATCCTCATGTGCTGGTTGCTTCTTGGGTAACGCGAGGTCCTCAAGTTCCAGCCGGCAGGGACCTCCACCCTCCGGGATGTCTGCTAAGCAGGCGAGGTGCAGGTCTTCGATGTCCATGGCGCTTTGTCCACTGAGCCACGTTGCGACAGAAAGTCGCTACCAGTAAATTTCGAGAACATCAACTGGTACACGAGGCGACACGCAGCAACAGCATGTATTGATGCGGGCTAACAACGGCCGCTTGAGCGACAACGATCTAGATCAGAGGAGATACGGGGAACGCTGTGGAAAGGACCCAGCCTCTTTTATCCGGCTTAGCGGTCTTAAGTTGCAAAACATTCCCTACACACCTACATGGAAACGGCGACCCTCAGTCGACCTCTATCAGCTCCTCACAGGGACAACGAACGAAGATCACGGGATTGGACCTGTTGCGGCCTCTGTCTCCGCATTCGGCTTCTGCTGCTCGCCTGATGTTCAATGAGCTCTGACTCTCTCAAGAGCAGATTCAAGGAAGCTTTTTTGGTCTCCCTGCCTCCGGCCGCCTGGCTCTGCGCAGCCAGCAGCTCCTGCACCGGGCATCTTTGCAAGCGGTGCCGAGGCCTAGGCATCTTCGCTCAAGCGAACGGTGGCCTCCTGGTACTTGTCTACCATTTCGCGAGGGAGGTAGATATCCTCGACGTTAACCTCTGCTGATTTGTAGAAGGTAAGCACAAAGCCACAGAGGCTCCAGCTGACCTGGTGGTCGTTGTAGCATGTCAAGACCTCTGCAACATACTCTCGTTCGCCATCGCCGCATGCTACACAAGGCATGGTTTCAGCCTGGATGTCCTCCCCAGTGGACACGAAGCGAGGGGCATCGAGCCAGCGGATCAGTTGCTTCCAGCTCCTCGGCAAAGGCAACAGCAAATTCCTGGCGCCTTGCCTCAATCGAACCAGCTTACCTTTGCGGACTGCTCGGGTTGCTGGTCACCACCTTAGCACAGCAGGTTCAAGACCCCCAACAGCCACTAATAGGTATAGGTACATTGGAGAGAAGACAAGCGAAAAAGAGAGGAGAGGAGGCCAAGGGGAAACAATGCCTTGTTCTGAGGCCATGCACATGACCGTTTCCGAGGTCCGCTGACCACCAAATGCCATATCCTCCAAAGCACGGCAAGTCAACGAACCCTGAGCCCTATGTCGACTCTGGCAGCTTGGCCTGACAGCATGCCACTGTGATCCACCTTGACCTGGGTCGGCATGGCCGGGCCAAGCCCAAGCTAGTGCGAGATGCGGCTCCAACGGCAAGAGCTCACAGCCAGGACCCGCGCGCTCGAGACCTTCGCCCGCAAGGCAGCCTTGCCACCTACAGCAGGGGAAAATTGCTTTACCTGCTGTGCCGGGAGTCACGACAACACAAAGCCGCGCCCATTCTGATGCACAGCTTCACGTCGTTCTCCACATTGGGCTCACCCTCGGCGGGCTGCGGAGGCACGCAGGAAAGGTTCACCTCCGGGATCACATGGTGGCCCCAAGAGTCGGCGCGGCGATGCACCACATGAATGTGCCTCCATTGCAACAATGGGCTCATCGGTCAGGTACCGCCTCAGGCTGCGAATCGCAAAGCAGTCGGGGGGCTATGGACTTGGACCACAGTCCCCCGCCGGGGAAACTGGTCAATCCTCACAGCCGAGAACCTTCGTACGATCTCCGTGGGATATATCGGGCACGAGCCAGGAGCCGAACACACTCAGCCAATGGCTTGCTCTTAAAGTGCTGGCCGATCGCCTGCATTCTTAACACTACGATGGCAGAGCAGCTGTCAGAGCCCTCGCCGCTGCTCGCCGCTGCTCGCCTGCAGGTCAACCCCGCCGTTCTCCTTCTTGACCCTTAGGTGCACACCAAGTTGCTAGCCCAACCGCAAGCACGGCAAGGGACTGTGAACTGAGCTTCCAGGCTGGCCCCAGAGTGAGAGTTCCAGCGGTTGCACGAAGATCTGCAAACGTCCGGGCAGCATCCTGCAGGGCTGGGCGAGAAGACTCGAAGATGATCGGAAGTTCCCTTCCGTGCAAACTCACAGCATGCGGCAATCGGAAAGCAACTTCACGAGGAGGAGCACCCCTTTTGAAACGACCGGACAAGTCCGACTTCCTGAATCCGTCTATTTTCCGAGTCGGCCCTGGGCTGTTTGGTTGTTTTAAATATGTTCCTCCCTCTCAATCTTGCACCAGGGCCCGAGCACGCCGGTCTCAGCCAGAAGCTTCTTGTGCGCATGGCGCATCGTGGGAATGATGCCTTCGCCTCGGGCCAGCATACAGCGACCTTCGAAGCGCATGTTCGTATCCGAACCATGCATCGCACCCAAGCACCAGAGGTCCATCACCTTGCCACGGGAACGAAACACATGCACACATTGCAAGTGGCGGTCTCCGATTCACTTCGCGGTGCAGCTGAGACCGGCCTCCGAGACGACCTCGGTGGGAGCACGTGGAAGCAGACTCAGGAAGTCTGCCTAAAGTATCTCTCGTCTCATGCCTACTTCAGGTCCTGACTATGTCGAACTTCTCCGCTACGTCCTCGCCAACCACGAGCCTGGCCGAAGCACCGAACAACGGCATTGGCCTGTTGCTCTACTTGGCTGGGCTGAAGCCTGGTTGACATCATCGGGGGCAGTAAGTTCACCATACCGCGCTTTTCGGTGATCAGTGCTGCGTTGGCTGCCACCACCTCGCACGAAACTACATCGTCCCTGTGATATCTCGTGATCCTGTGCCCTTCACTGCACGTCTTTAGCCTCACGGCAGGTCTGGCGCATCAGGGGCACCTTGGTGGTATGTTTTCGAGTTGGTTGACATGGCTTTCTTGGGAAGTTTCTGCGGTCCCGGGCAGCTTCACAAAGCCAAACTTCTGCACCCTCCAGCCTCAGCAGGGGTCGACCCAAACATCGCTTGAACAGAGGAAAATGATCTCTCGGGCGCTTGCGCCGCCATCATGCCGAGCAGGCCAATGCCAGACCCTTTCGAAAAAGCTGAGTCTCGAATGGCATCCGGACCATGCTGCGCCTGCGTCCAACACCCGGGGTCGGCGGCCGAGCTTTTTCCGCTGGGCTTGCACCTTGGCTTCAAAGGCATTTACTGCGCTCCGAACAGCTCTCCTTGAGCTCCGGGCTGCATCGCGAATCGCCCGCTGGTAAACCTCCCCAATTCGAGATTTGTTCGGCGGGTTTGAGAGCGTTCAGCAATGTTCAGCATAAGCCTGAGCCCTCTCCATGTCTGTCATCATCAAAAAATGATAAGGCCTGCAGCTTTGTGTTTCTCCCGGGCTCTGACTCTTCAAAACTCGTTGCACTTGCGTTTGGTAGCAAAGGCCAGAGCAGGATGGGCAGCGTCGCTGAGAATTTAGTGCTTGTCGGAGCCTGCACCCTGGGTGAAACATGGCTGAGATTGAAGCTGCGGCTAGATTGCATTTGACTCCTAGCCGCCAAGATGCCACATGGGCACCTCCACTGACATTGGGCCTGGCATGTCAAGGGAGGTTGCCATGCAAAGTGCCCGAACATGCCCGAAGACATCCTAGGACATTGGCTGAAACATCTGACGAGGTTGTGCCAGAACGACTACTCTGTGTAACCTCCCAACAGCTCAGACGCACGAGACTCTGAAAAATGTTTGGTACGTTCTGCGACTGACGAGAAGCAGTGTCATGTTGAAGGGAGAGGGACCAAAAAGAAACAAAGACATTCAAAAGCGGTCGCAAGGATCAACATTGGGATAGTTCGGAGGGTTCAACAGCCAATTAGTGCCGCAGCGTCCTGCCGCTTCGTGCCTTCCTGGCATCCTGGCCTCGCTGCTTCCTGGCTACGTGGCTCCTGACTTCTTGACTCCGTGGCTTCTTGGTTCCGTGGCTCCGTCGCATCGCCTAATCAGGAAGCAAGCTTAAAACATGGGATCAACCGCCATCGCCTAATGAGAGGGCGGGCTGAGATCAACCGACATCGCCCGACCAGGGATCGAGAAAAGTAGGGGGGGCTTTAAGAGACGAGCTAACCGCCATCGCTTGATGAGGGGGCGAGTTTAAAACATGAGATCAACCGCCAGCGGGCTTGAGAGATCAACCGCCATCGTCTAACACAGGGTCGAGTTTGAGACTTAGGATCATCCTGCTGCTGCTACTGCTACTGCT